GGGGGGGGGGGGGGTTCAGGCATTTATACGTGTCAAGGAAGAGGATTTGGCTGCGACTTGGTAGCAGCTCCACAATATCTTCCAAAACCTAAACCCTCGACCCCAATCCCTAAGCGCTACACCCTAATCCCTAATCCCTAACCCCTACACCTAAACCTTGATCCTTAAACCTTGCACCCCAACCCTAAACCCTGCACCCCTAAACCCTAAACCCGAATCACTGTTCCCTAGGCCCTGTTCCCAACGCCACAAGCCAGGTTCCCCTTGTGTTCAGACCTGCTTATGAGAAGCGGAGCCTCGAGGCGCCCCTTTTTTTGGGAGGGTTTAGGGTTTAGGGTTTTAGGGTTTAGGGTTTAGGGTTTAGGGTTTAGGGTTTAGGGTTTAGGGGTTTAGGGTTTAGGGTTTAGGGTTTAGGGAAGAATCCCCCACATGGGAAAGAGACACAGCCCCCATAAAAGCCTAAACCCGAAACCCCAGACTCCCCAATGCCTAAAGCCTACACCCTAATCACCCTAAACTACTTGATCCCAATCCCTAAACCCTAAACCTGAATCCCGAAACCCTAAACCCTAAAGGACCCTCTCGCTCAGCGGCTCGGGATCATCGGAGAAGCCGTTCTTGATGAACTTCTTGCCTGATGCTCTAGGGTTTGCGGTTTCGGGTTGAGGTTTTAGGGTTCAGGCTTTAGGTTTTAGGGCTTAGTAATTGGGGTCTAGGGTTTAGGGTTCTACAGCTTCGGGTACACCTGGCATGGGCTCAACCCCCAAGAGTCAGGAATCCTGAGCACCGCAGCGACAACCTAAAGCCTCCAACCCCACCCAAACCCCCCCAAGACCCTGATGAAAACCCCCAAAACCCTCCAACCCCAAACCCACCCAAAAAACCTAATAGAACCCACAAAAATACTCAAACCCCGACAAAACCCCAAACCCACACCCCAAAACATCCCCCTACAACCCCGATAAAAAAAAAAATAATAATAAAATAAAAGCCGAGGCGCAGTTGTCCCAGGCGCCGCCCGAGTTGGACATGGAGATGGCCAGCTGCACAGAGGAGCCCAGGGAGCCCGTGAGGAGCCCGAAGACGGCCTCCGGTGTAGGGTTTAGGGGTTTAGGGTTTAGGGTTTAGGCTTTAGGGTTTAGGGTGTAGGGTTTAGGGTTTAGGCTTTAGGGTTTGGGGTGTAGGGTCTTGTGTTTAGGCTTGAGGGTTGAGGGTGAAGGTTTAGGAGGCTCTTTGAAAGGAACCATCATGCCTATCCGCTTCGATGCAGGGGAGGGCCTATCAAGGTTCTGTAAGCTTGGAACCTCCTTTTGTAAGGGCTGGGACCAGCTGGAGTATGGATTTTCCTTTTGTTGCGACGATGCTACTGCCAGTAAGAACACTAGCTATCATGAGAACCATCCCTAAACCCTAAACCCTAAACCCTAAACCCTAAACCCAGAACCATATTATTAAAGCGTGGGACTTGCCGAAGTACCACGATGCTCAGCAGAAGGACCCTGAAGTCCCCATGATGATCGATCCCCAGCCTATGTCAAAAAAAGAAAAACCCGCAGTCTCCCAGGGTTTAGGGTTTAGGGGTTTAGGGGTTTAGGGTTTAGGGTTTAGGATAGCCCTCAAGCATGATTCGTCCCTGCGCTTCGTGTAGCAACCCCTGGCAGTAAGGCACCTCCAATGTAAACACCCCCCGCCCCCTCCCCGTTTTCGACCCCCGGAACCCCCGTTTGAAGCCAAAAACCTTACCATGTGCAAGCAGGACCTGGACGCCGAAAAAGGTGCCGGCCAAAAGAGGCGAGAGGATCCTTGGCAAGGCTTTGGATGCAGGCGATGAGCATTTGGTCAACTCCTGTGGTTATGATAAGGACGTCCCTAGATTCGGCATAGATCAATTGGCCATGCATGCTTGAGTCTGAAAGCCCAAAGTGACCCTACACTGCTAATCCCAAGCCGGCCGAGCATCAAAAAAATACCCTAAACCCCAAACCCCGCATCCCTGAAAGCTCCAAGGCCAAGCCGCACGAGGCAGGCAGGTGCCACCATCTCGTAGAGGGAGGCCTCTCTAAGCATAGGAGCCCCCCAAAAAATAGTATAGGTCATTATGAAGGCCCGTACATTAGGGTTTAGGGTTTAGGGTTTAGGGTTTAGGGTTTAGTCGGGGTCTCGACTTCAGGCTTGCGGGGCTCTTGAGGTTCGGAGTTCCAGGCTGGGGTTTAGGGCTTAGGATTTAGGGGTTTAGGGTTTTGGGTTTTGGGTTTAGGGTTTGAGTTTTTTCGGGCTCAAGATTAGGGTTTCGAGTCTTTGACACATGGCCTGTTAGACCGGCTAGTGCTGCTGGTCAGAACACAACAATCTTCCGTGGGTAATACACCGGCCCGAAGAACAACATGTAGTGACCATAAACGGATACCCGGTTCAAAGCCCGATCAGGGTTTAGGGCTTATGGTTCAGGGTTGAGGGCAACAGCGACCCCTAAACCCAAAAAGAGAAAGGGAGACCGTCGCCAAGTGCTCGGGGAAGGTGCAGGAGTTTCGAAACCCCCTGGAAGTAAGGGGTGTTCTTCACATGACAGCCGGGGCTAAGGCTTCAGATGTGGGAATTTGCTGGAGTTTGGAGACTTTGCCAAAACCTTAAACTCACGCCGCGGCAGCTGTAGATTCAACCGCGCTGTAGATCCTCAAAAATAAGGACTGCATTTTCAGGATCCCTAGATGATTACACAAAGTACCCCTGATTTTGCCGGCCTCCGTGGAGATGTGGATGCAGGTCAAGGAATCCGGCTTTAGCCTAGCTGGCTTCTCAGCCAAAATGTTCAGGCTTTAATCCAAAAGCACCTGCCATCTGAAAGGTCCTCTTGCATAGCCACGACACCGGACATCCGTAATGCTCTATAGCTGCAAGAAAGGCAGCCAATTACTCTGAGCATGGTTATAGTACTAGTTCGAGTTCTAGCAATGCATTCCAGATGGAGCCATCACGGCATTGGGACAAATAGCAGTAGCATCCGTGTCATCAACATGATAATCCCCCAAACAACATCTCACGTGAGTTCATGAACATGCCACCATGTTCTGTGGATTTGGGGCGTCAGGCTGTCCACTCTCTGGCAATGCCCTTTGAATGGCATCTATAAGGCATTTGCAAACTGCAAGGAGGCCTCGAAAAAAAAGCAAGCCGTGCGGTGAGGGTTTAGAACTAAGTGGGCTTCAGCCGTAGGCTTTAGGGAGAACCTGAACCCCAAAGAGCTCAACTCCAAAGAAACTGGAGGCAGCAGACGTGGAAGGAGCACAAGAAGCGAAGGCGCGATGGCCACCCTTCCATGAACATTTAGAGATCCAGGGCTTCCGTGCTTCCAGTAACATGGTTTAGAGGTTGCGGGTTTAGGGTTTAGGCTTTGGAATTTAGGGTTTAAAGGTTGCGGGTTTAGGGTATGGGGTTAAGGGATTTAGGGTTTCAAAAAATGCTGAGAAAGGTACTCATCGCTGCCGTCCAAGAGGGTCTTGCCCTTGGAGTCCTTGACGCTGAACTGCCTGACCGATGGGCAGTTGGAGGGTTTAGTTTAGGATTTAAGGTTATGCCTTGGGAGGGCTTAGGTTTTAGGAGGGCTTTGGGTTTAGGGAGGCATCACCATCACCACTGCTACTAGTACTACGACGACGACGCCCATGACGACGACCACGCCCCACCGCCACCACCAACTCCACCACCGACACCGCCAATACCACCAGTGGGCAGAAAAAACAAAGTATGTGGCAAAATGATGACTACTGTCGTGAGTAATTTTTAATGATAAACCACTGGTATCAAGACGCCACAGCACTACGCAGCACCTTCAATCACAAGTGGGCTCGGCATGCACGTCGCCTCTTGCAGTTCTGACAAGGTAGAACCCAAAAAGCACAAGGGGACGACTGCCCACAGCCGATACTGAATCATCAACATGGGTGATAGCAGCCATTACAGCAAGACGAAGAGAAGGACCGTGACGGTAAGACCTGAGAACCAGAAAGATGAGCGACAATTCCGTGATCAATAACGACAATGATGACAAGTGTCATCTACAGCAACACTATCAGCGACGATTAAGAACCAGAGAACCTCAAAATGATGGAAAGAAGGCCCAAGACAGCTTTAAACCCTAAACCCTAAACCCTAAACCCTATGCAAAATGGATGCCACGGTTGGCCTCTTCACTTCCGCGACCATCTCTCCGGCCGCCTGGCAGTTTTCGGCTTTGAAAAGAGATCTGAAAGCCCCTTTTGGGGGTCCCCACTTAGGAGCCCTTTTCTTGGGTTTGCATGGGGTCTTTCGGGCTTTGATAGGGTTGACAGTAAGGGTTGCAAGTACCAGAGACTCCGAACCCGAAAATCCGGTCTCTCGCTGTTGAGAGGGTGCAAAACTATTACAAAGAAACCAGAAGTGTGGAAAAGAACACACACACACAGGGGGTGGTCGAGGAAGCTCTGGACCCTTGTCCTGATGAGAAGCAAGCAATAAAGACAAGGTTTATGGTTCAGGGGTTCGGGTTTAGGGTTGAGGGGTTGGGCTTTGGCAGCCGGTTTGGCAAGTGCTTATCAGGTGCTGTGCGGGCCTGAACACTTCTAAGGCAGTGTCGGCTTACAGCGTGACTGGTATGACGCAGTAAGTCCTAATCACCCAGTAGAGAGATGCATCCGGCTTCATAGGTCAGGTAACGTAACTCTGCCGTGGGAACCGACTAGCCCTAAGTTTCGCATAGAATCATAGAACGACTATGGACTGCTGATACTTCGAACCAGTGGTCACAGCTTCTGCGCTCAACATACGTACCAGCTTCTGTCAAGCCCCCTCCGTCCTTGCCGACGGACTTCATGGTGAGGGCGGCGAACCAGTAGGGGACCATGCAGCCGATGATGAGGAAGGCGAAGGTGACGGGCTCCAGGATGTTGACGCCGGTCTTCACGTGCAGGCGCACGACGAAGGCACCGTAG